ATGGAAAGTGGGTTACAACTCACACATTTTTACCGCCTAAAATTTACCCTAGCCAGCTGTCAGTTGCCACAACATGGAACATAACATATGAAATCCTAAACTAAGCTAGATTTTGTTTAGAATATGAAGAGGAATATTATATAGATGAATATTACGCTACAACAGAAACACGTACGCAAAATAAGAAAATAAAAATAAAAATGATTAAAAAAATTAAAACAAATCTAATATCAAAATTAGCTTATTAACTGCTAAAGGAATTAAGGAATATAAGGATCGTTTTGTGTGATGGAAGAATAGGCTTGTTTGTTGAAATAAAGGTTTAAACGTTTCTCATTGCTTTGAATGTGCTTCCATCAGCCAAGTTCTTTATTAGCACTACTCCACAAGGAAAAGCTTTAACAACTTCAAATGGTGTAGACCATCTTGACTTTTGTTTCCCCGTAAATAGCTTAAGGCGTTAGTTCAATAAAAAGACATGTTTTCTAACATTACAGTGCTTTACCAAGATATGATTGTCCTTCCATCCTTTACTCTTGTCTTACATAAATTATTGCACTCTCATAAGCATCATTCCACAACTTCTCTAACTCAGTTATGTCTAGCATCCGCTTCTCTCCCACAACATTCAAAGTAAAGTTTAATTGCTTCAGTGCCCACGTGGATTTATGCTCCAGTTCTACGGGTATATGACAAGCTTTGTCGCACATAAAGTGATAGGTAGACATGCCCAATGGTTTCTTTTATGATGTCTTATAAGCCCATAAATCATCATCAAGACATAAATACCAATATTTTCAAGAAGTATTAATAAATTTCTCTAGGATTTGCTTGATATTGCAGTCTGAAAACTCAACTTGGTCATTAGTCTATGGATAGTATGCTATAGCAATTCGATAGTCACCCCATATGGATTCAATGCTCTAACAACTTGAGTACCAATTAAATGAGATCCTCCATCACTGATAAATGCACTTGGCGTTCCAAAACGAGTGAAAATGTTTTTATGGAGAAACTTTAATACTGCCTTAGCATTGCTAGCTGGCAATGCCACAGGTTCTACCCATTTAGAAATGTAATCCACAACACCATAATAGAAAGGTTTCCACATGATGAAGGATATGGACCCATAAAATCCATCTACTAGACATCAAATAATTCAATTTCCAAAATGAGTTGCATTAGCATTTCATTGCATCGAGAGATGTTGTTGTTGCTAGTAGCGATCACATTACTCAATGTATTCATTAGCATCTTTGAATAGTGAAGGCCAATAATAACTACATTGCAACAGTTTTTCTATTGTTCTTATGCCACCAAAATGACCTCCATAAGGAGCATCGTGGCAATGGTGAAGAATACCGTGTTCTTCACTTTCAAGAACACACCTCAAAATTTGATCATTGCATTGCTTGTAGTGGTAAAGCTCCTCCCAATGGTATGCTCGAATATCTCTTAAATATTTCTTTCAACATTGGTAATTAAGATTAGGTGGCATCAATCCACTCACCAGATAATTGGCATAGTTCACATAACAATATAAGACTTCCACAACAAGTAATTATTCATCAGGAAAGGTAGCCAAAATTTCCAACATTTTTCCATCTTCGCTGCCAGGTTGCAACTGTGACAAGTGATTGGCCACTTGATTATCTGATCCACTATAATCTCGTACTTCGATGTCAAACTCTTAAAGTATTGTTAAACTCTTAAAGTATCAACACATATCTCATTAGCCTTGGCTTTGTATCATTCTTGGTAAATAATTACTTTAGGATCGAATGATCGGTCTACACAATTACCTTAGTTCCAATTAAATAGGAGCGAAATTTGTGCAAAATAATACCATGACAAATAATTCCTTTTCGATTACTGTGTAGTTTATTTGGCCATCATTTAGAGTTCGACTAGAATAATGAATGACATGGAATACTTTTTATCGTCTTTGTCCCAACACTACCCTAAAAACTTGGTCACTAGCATCACACATAAGCTTAAATGGGCATTTCTAAGCTGGTTCTATGACTATAAGAGTAGTGATTAGCTTTACCTTTATTATCGTAAAAATTTCATCACATCATCATCCACGATGAACTTCCTGTTTTGTTCCAATAATGAACATAGCGACATAGCAATTTTAAAGAAATCCTTGATTAATCTTTGGTAAAATCCCATATGTCCTAAGAAACTTCTCACAACCTTCACATTGGTGGGGGTGAAAAATTTTAGATCACTTCTATTTTGGTTTTGTCCACTTCAATGTTGCGACTGGAAATATGATGCATTAACATTATACCTTCAGTAACCATAAAGTGACATTTCCCCAAATTTAAAACCAAGTTGGTTTTTCACAATGTTTTAACACAACAACCAAATGGAGAAGGCATTGATCAAAATCTTGCCCAAAAATAGAGAAATCATCCATAAATACTTCTAAATAGTTTTTAATTTATTGCCATCATGTAACACAGAAACGTTTCTGGAGCATTGCATAAACCGAAAGGCATCATTCTAAAAGAAAAAGTACCATAAGAGCAACCGAAAGTAGTTTTCTCCTGGTCCTTAGGTGTTATGGCAATTTGATTGTAACCATTATACCAATTCAAAAAGCAGTAGAAAGCTTTTCCAGCGAGGCGATCCATCATTTGATCTATAAATGGCAATGGAAAATGATATTTTCTTGTTGCCTTGTTAAGATTCCTATAGTGCATACATATTCTCCGACCAGTAGTGGTCTTTGTTGGCACTAATTCTTTTTTTTATCATTCATAACCACAAAATGCCACCTTTCTTTTGGACGCATTGCATTGGCCTGATCCAATTGATGTCTAAAAATTGTTATATAATGCCAGTATCCAACCATTTTATAATATCCTTTTTAACCACTTTCTTCATTATTAGATTTAGCCTTCTTTGGTGCTCAATCGATCTACTAGTAGTGTCTTCCAAAAGAATATTCTGCATACAAAATGCTGGACTGATTAATATCATCAATGCTCCAAGCAATGGCTCTCCCGTGCCGTTTCAAAATAGAAATCAGCTGAGCTTCCTATGATGCTATAAGTGTGCTGCCACAATGAAAGATAATATACCATTTTCACCAAGGAATACATACTTCAAATGCTCAGGTAGAGGCTTTAAATCAAGTACGAATGAGTCCTCAATGGATGGATTTGGAACTTAGATATGATGGTTAGGCATTTCTATAGACTCAAAATGGTTCATGTAATTTCCACAACATTCTTTTTCCTCATATTCGGATAGCTCTTCAATTGCCATATCATTACTGGTAAAATACCCATGGTACGACATTTATCCAAATGCTCCTGCGCGAAAACATCAATAACATCGAGTAAGTAGCATTTAACAGTATCACCCATATAAAAAACATCATTTAAGTGCATAGTAAGTTCTCTTTTTTCAATATCATTTAAAACACAGTCGGTGGAAAGAAATGGGTGGCCAAGATTGATGAAAGCATCTTTTTCATCTTTATAATATAAAATGATGAAGTGAATTTGTCTACTCTCACAAACATGTTTTCCATAATTCCATTAGGATGCATGGTAGATCGATCAACAATGTATAATGTGATGGTGGTAGGTCTTGCTTCGACAATTCAAAATTTTGTAAAAATTGATAACATCATTAGATTATTGCTAGCACCCTAATCACATAAATCTTTCCCTATGAATTTATCACCAATTTGCAAGGAATAGTAAATCTCACTAGATCTTTAAGATTTGGTGGTAATTGAATTGTAGCCATAACACTACGCCCTACGGTAAAAACGACAATCTCAAATTCTCCAAGTCTTCTCTTATTGAAAAGAAATTCCCTCATGAATTTGATGTAGTTTGGGTTTTTCTCTAATTCCTTAATCAACATATTATTCATTGTTAGTTGTCAGATACATCAATGAAAGCCTTATACTATTGATCCTCCTTTGTCTTCTTGAAACATTGAAGGAATGGTGGAGGCATCATTGATTCTGGCTGATGTGACATTGGAGTTGGTGACATATATATGAGTATTATTATCGACATTGGTTCTAGATTATTGCAGTATCCTCATTCTCTTGCTCTGGCATCATCCGCAAATGTGTCTATGTCAACTTCCTTGGTTTTACCTTTTCCATGCATGGTAGTTGGTCCAGAATTCTTCTTGGGCTCCTCGACAGGCATCCTAGTATAAATTCCACTCCATGTAGTAATGCCTTTGCAATGCTTTTTTCCTTATTGCTTGGGAATTTCAATATTGATGGGCAATTTTCGTTGTAATCAATTACTTAGAATAATTGCCATTTGCTCATTTGATTATCCAAAGCCCTTAAGAACGCTGATTGACTTGCCATGTACTCTTTCATTAAGGCTTCGATAGATGATAGAGTGAAAGTTTGTGTTGAATATTGTCCTTGATAAGGTTGCCTTTACTGCGGTTGTGTAGCTTGATTTTGTCCTTGTGGCTGTAACATCGTTTGCTGCTAATTGTAATGCTGATGTTGTTAATGTTGTTGCTATGGATTGACAACATTATAAATTCTCCAAGATATATTAGGATGGTTGCGAGAGTTGGCATTGTAGGTGTTTCCAAAGCATTATCATTCCTTTGGTAGTTTTACACGTAAAAGACTGACTCGGGATTTTGAGCGCATTATCAAAGTTGTGATTATCTCCATAATAAACATAAGAAATGATAGATGAAACTTTTACCTCGTACATTCCTATGGTTTTTGCAACTTTTTCACCATGTCTGTAAATGTTGAAATTTAGGGTGCCATAGAGTTAAACGCATCAGAATCCACTGTTGCAACATTGCGTTGGCTAAACATGTACCTCCTATTTGGGTACTGACAATCATTGGTTGATATCCTTTCCAGAATATCATAGGCTTCATAATATGTTTTGTCAAAAAAAGTTCCGTTTACTGAAGCATAAACTACCATACAAGTGTGTATGTTCAGCCTATTGTAGAACATCTCCATTTGAGTCCAATGTGAAAACCCATGCATCAAACATTTTTAAAGGAAATCCTTGAATCTTTCCCATGCCTCATACAAGCTTTCATCTTCCAACAGTTTGAATGAATTAAGGTCATTTTAAAGTTTGGCATTCATATTGGGTTGGTTAAAATCAGAGCAAAAACATTTGTGTTAGCTCATTCTAGGATGCTATATCACCATGCGATAGTGAATTCAACCATGCTTTAGCCTTATCTTTCAGCGAATAAGGGAATAACTTTAGCTTCAACTCTTCCACAGAAACACGTTGCTGAACAAACGAGTCGCAATCCTCTATAAATGCTAGTAAATGTGCTCAAGGATCTTCAGTGCTGGACCCTTAATACTGTCACATGGATTGCAACATTTGAAACACGACCAGCTTCAATTCAAAATTCGTAGCATTAATCACTGGTTGCACTATGCCAGTATATAAATCATTGAGTATTGGCACTACATGTTTTTGGATGGGTCAGTTGCGTTCATCCATATTGCAAAATTAATGTCCTACTCAATTTCTAGCAGACAATTCAACATCATTATCATTCTACAGCGGAGACAGAATATCGTTCCCTTGTCTAGCCATAGATGCTCGATTTATTACAGCTTCTCTAAAACATCTTCTAAAGGTTCTTTCTATCTCTAGATCGAATAGATTTAAATCATTTCCACTTCAGGGAATACTACTAGAAATAAAGATGTAAGTATCTACAAAAAAAAACAAATGAGCAACTAATTAATAAACTCTAAAGTAAAACTGTTGCACACCGACAATGGTGCCAAACACATGATGCTAGCTATATGCTATAGCGAAAGTGCAAGTATACATTATTGTCCAAATAATAAAGTGGTAACAAATTATTGGTACGAATGTCGAACCTGTAGGGAGCAAGTTTCTTACAGTAGAGTTAAAGTAAAACAAAGAAGAGTTGAAGTGATGAGTGACAAATAAGAGTAAAATGTGAGTTTATCAATGTTAAAGAGCAGGGAAATGCCACAACAATTAATGAATCATTCTAATAAAATGAACCCTATATGCTATTATATTTGGGTTACTTAACACATTATTAATGCTGAAGTACTACACTTATGAGTTACGTTAAGATTAATTCACAATATTGAACTTATATTTCTCATTAAAAAACCATATGTGCATAATCATAGGTAAGTAGACCCATATATTTAATGGTTTATGTTTTTTGGTTTAATTGGGTTGGATTTGGACCCAATTAGCCATAAAAGAGGAATTTTAAATATGAGAAAAATTAAGGAGGACTAACGGTGTAATTAGACTACTAAAAGAAAAAAGATGATATTTTTGGCTTTTAAGTGTGTTTTGGACGTGGAGTTCCCATATCTTATTCTTCATTTCTAATTTATTCCTCCTCCACAGCTAGAGCAAATTCAAGGTAAGTGTTTGGGGTTCTTCAATACACCTCTAAGCTTCAAATATTAATCCATAATCTTCCTCTTCTCGATGTTATTCTAAGAATCATTGTCTTTATTTTTCTTGTTTGAGCAAAAATGGTGGAAAATCAACAAATTCAAAATGGAAAGTGTTTGATAGATAAAGGAGCTTCATTATAAGATCTTAGTATCAAGGTAGTATGTTTCTAATTCTTTGGAGTATTAAGCTTTCATAAATTTAAAGTATTTGCTAAGATTTGTAAAGTTGAATAGATTAGGGTTTAAATTTGATCTCAAGATTAAAAGATGTTTTAGGTGTTAATAATGCGTTTTATGACATGTAAGGACCCAAGTTAACTGTATAAAACTTTAGTAAATGATTTAGAATCAAACTATGGCCTCTAGGATGAGTTTTAAGTACTTTTTAAGCGTAAATATCTATTTTAGGGTTTGAGTATAGATACTAGGATGAACAATATCAATACTGAATGAATTGGGGCAAAAATTAGGGATTTGATTGGCAATATCAATACTACGATGGGGAGTATCGATACGTCCCTTGCAATATCAATACTTAGGGTGTCAGTATCGATACTGAGGTCTTTTTTCACAAAAAATGCAGTTTTGGTACCAATACTCATAGGGGTATCGATACTTGACCCTAGGGTATCAATGCTGCAAGTAGAGTATTGATACTACTCACTTTGGATGGTTAGATTTGACTACTTTAAGGCCTGTAAGAGCTAAGTACAATCCGTAGTAGTAAGATTCAATCCATGAGAGACATAAATGACTAAACACTCTTAGAAATACTTGTAGGAGTAGGTTACAACAAATGTAGCCATATTAAATGTAATATGTTGAAGTATCTTCCTTCGATGATGTATACAGATAGTTGGGATCGATGATCATTCATGAGATATCTAATAAGTGGTACAATGAATATGTCAGATTCAGTGGTAGCGAAAAGTATGAGCTTTGAGAATATTAGTGAAGCAAGGAAGATTAAGCCATTCTTTTAAGTTCAAGAGGTTCTAAAGGGGAGTACGATAAATCAAATAGAGTACAACTACTTAGAAATGAACCCGATCCAGATATTGGGGTAGCCAGTTCGACAGTTAATAAATAAGCCTTCGCATAACATTCTAGATAGGAGAATGAAAGAGATAGCGACTAGTAAGAGGATGACTTTACATAGTGAGTACAACTATGTTAGGGTATACCCAAGTTACTTTAGTTACCTAGTGGGGGCATTGCTAGTGCACGAGGTATTTCAGGGGCTAACTAGGGTGTGAGACCCGAACGCATGTAAGGAATGGGTTAGCGATGTCAGTGTTATATGGTATGTACATCTTAGATATACATGGGTAGTTTTGTCAGTTAAGTACAGTCAGGTAAGCTCCGATACATGTAAAATTTTTTTTCGTACCCCAAGGCTATTTTGTATTCAAGGTAGGTTGGGGTGTTGTTCTAAGATGCACGTAAAATTCCTTCGACCACACACCAGACCTACATCATGTTTGTTTGTTTCAATCGTGAATGTATAGTCCTATCAGTCCAGTATATAAGATATATTAAAGCTTGTCTTGTAGTCTATGTGAGACTGAGCCAATGCTTTAGTTGTGTGGGAATTGTATCGATGCTATGTGACATCAATACACATTTAGTGATCTATTTGATGACTAGGAGATCATTCAGTATATTTTTTGGGAATTGCACCGATGCTATGCGATATTGGGTTCCCTCAGTAACTAAGATCTGATGGCTAAGTGAAACCATATACTAGTCAGGGTGCATTTAAATAATTCACATCATGGTCAGGTTTGCATTCAGATAATGCATAGTATGTTCGGATTCACATTCACAAAATGCACATAAGTATCAATGTCATATTTAGATAATGTGTAGCCAGTGCATTCATTAGTGTAAGAGACACTTCAGTGGTGTACTCACGGCAAGGCCCTTAGCAAGGACTAAGGGAAGCGTGAGTCCCTTACTTCATTGATAGAACAGAAAAGTCTTAAGTAGGTAGCACTCGATCTAGATCATGTATGTACCTACTGCTTAGTATCATGTCTTCAACATGCTTATGTTTATAAAATTCTTATTCTGTTCTAGATTAACGATTATGTAATACCCCAAAATTCTGGTTAGTGACCAAAATATAAAATCTAAAAGTTTAGTAGCTAAAGTGTAAATTTTGGAAAAGTTTAGTAACCAAAAGGGTATTTTTTAAAAGTTTAGGGACTAAAAGTGTAATTTTCAAACATTATGTATTTTGGCCCTGTAAATGAATAGTTCTCCCCAAGAATGATGTTTTGGTGGGAGTCATATTTTTGATCTGAAATTTATGTTAAAAGCTTTATAGTGTTTAAGTATGGTAAAAATTTGATAAATCAGGTCAAATAGAAATTTTGGGAAAATTTGAAGGTTATTAAATTAAACTTGGAAATATTATTTCCATATTTTGAAATGATGAAAAATAATATGATCATTGGATTTGAGAATTTATTTCCATGTTCAATTTAGACCGTTGGATGAAAATGAAATGATTGAAATTTATGGAAAATTGCATAGATAAAGTTGTCAAGGGCATAATATTTTGTTCATCTTTCACTTTGGAATATGATAAGTGTTGTGTGGCTTGGTATAGACGTAATTATCAAATTTCATTAATGGTAAATGTCGAGACATTTCTCTGCCTGGCGACGGAGAGTTCAAATAGTACACCTCAAGGGGTGTAACTAGTCTCGAAAAAGTAAGTATTTATCCTTCATGAATCAGATTTAATACCAAGGTGTAGAGTCTCCACCAATATTTTATTTTGTGAGATTGGTCACCAAAATGTTATATTACTTTAATAAAATTCCTAAGAATATTAGTAAAATAATACAACTCTGGTCTATTTACCAGAAAAATGAGTTCGGGAGTCGGTTACGTATAGGGAAGGATTAACACCCCCATAACGCCCAAAATTTGTACCAGTATTTATTAATTAGTTTCTTTGCAATAAATTATAAATTTGTAATTAATTTAATTTACAAATAATTTAATATAAATAAATATAAAATATTTAACATAGATACCATTAATCTTATTATAAAATTATACTATAATTACAAGTTATATAAAGTAATAATCTTAAAATATAAATATTAATTAATTATATAATATACTAATTATTAAAAATTAATACACAAAATATTTATATTAATTAATCTTAATTTAAAACAATCCTAAAATTATGGACTAATTATATAATTTACCTTAATTTATTAATACGAGATAAAAGTAGAATTAATTAAATTATATATATACGGTTAAGGACTAAAATAAAATTAAATAATATTTGAAAATTGAATAATAATATGCGAAAACATGCTTTTAGTACTAAATTGAAGGATTACAAAATTACAGGGACCTCAGATGGGATTTTCCCATACCCAATTTAGCACCGACACTCTCTCCCCAAAACGACATTGTTCAGGGAGGGGTATATATAGACCCTAAACTGGTTTTAAGAGGCTTTAAGCCTCATTTCATCAAATTTCTTCTCTCTTAGAGAGAGAAGCTATCGTCCCTCTCTAAGATTCCCTCACCGGAGGGAATCCGACCACCGTCAACCACTGTATGTCAGCACCGACACCCACCATTGGCAACCACTTACGGTGGTCAGAATTTACCCGAATACACCAAAATGA